AAGTACGATATGAAAAGTATGCATTCAGTGTTCCCAAATGTATCAGGCAACCTACACCCAAGGTAAAGAAAAAGATCTCTAGTCAACCATCCTAAACTAAATTCAATCAAAGCCCTTCCTAGAAGACTCCACAGCTTCAATTATACAGAATTAAAAGTTCTTCCTTCCTTCTCCCCAGCTGACTCCCCAGCCCAGCCTCTGGCTTCTTTACTTTTCATTCCATCCAGGAAGAGCACACACCAAATGCTGAAACTTCCTTAGCCTGATGAAGGGTTTTTGAACCCGAAAGCTTGCTTAATAACTATTCTCCAACTATTTGGGTTGGTCTAATAAAAGATATCAGATTCACCCAAGGAACCTTGTCTGCCTTCCTTCCTTCTCATGTCCTTGTGTGTAACAGAATTCACAGATTTGCTGAAATCTGACACGGCCATGACCATTTCTGCTACAGCCTTGATCCTGTGACCCCTGAGCTGTCTACCAGGCGCCTTAGCACCCACACAACTCCATCCCTCCCAAATCAGAGGTGAAAAAGTTAGAGATGGGGTAAGAAGGGTTATACTTGCTCCCCACACTCTGGAAACCTTTAAAAGGGAAGGCACCCATGGCAAGCCACATGGGAGGGGGACCATAAAACCAAACAGTGGAATAGGAGGGGGGAAAAAAGGATGACATTATTTCAAAGACCATTTGCATCCCATAAATCTCAAGAAATCTACAGATGAAGTAGTGAGAAAAATGCAAACAATGTCCCATATAAGAAATTTCATAAGATGACAAAATTTAGAGCCAAAGTTTACCCTCATCAAAACAGATTACTCCTACACATAGGAAAACAATGTCCTTAGGATTTCAGAAAACAGAAAGCTTTACATTCTGCTCAGGCACAAAAATAATTACCAAGATCTTCCGGGATATTAATGGTAATATCATGATTAACTACAAGTTACAGGAAATCTGTGTATATTTTCCCATAAAATAAAACACACTTAAAAGGGAAGAATCTCAATTTTGTGCATACAGTTTACAAGGATGTGTAAAACAAAATGTCTTCCATAAGTTGCTTCTGTATCCCTTTGTCTCAATGTAGAACACCGGTCCAATTTGTTTGCAACAAAACTGAGTTCTAATGCTATTTTTAATAACTTTTCATTAAATTTTCTAGCCTCTATTAACACACACACAGAACGCCTACAGATATATGATGTGAAGCAAACAACAATTTCAAAGGGGATTTTGTGACTAGTGGCCAAGTGAAGTATGTAAAGAGACTCCTTAAATTAAACACTGGGCATGCTGATTAGATTTGATGCAAGTAATAGTTTAAAATCAATGTTTAACACATGGCTTCTAGACGGCAGGGTAAAGATGCACTTCATAGACTAACTCACAGCTGTCCAACTTCAGACTAGCCAGGGGCCGCACCCCACACCAGACTACAAGCCCTGCAGGGTCCCAGGACACCTGCCATATGCAGTCCTTCTGCTGTACAAGCCACACCCCACCACAGACAAGCTCCAGCCACACCCTCATCACAACTACCACACAGTCCATCCCTTACCCAATGAGCAGCCTGTACCACTGCCTCACAACTCCGTACCCTCCTCCCTCCACCTCTCCCAAAACCCGCACTGCCATATGGGCAGCACAACCTCTCCCCATCACATGAGCAGCAAGCTTACCAGACCCCCTCTGGCCACGCTTCTCTGCCCCGGAGACCCCAACCACGACTATAGCATCAGGAGCAATGCAAAGAATGGCAGCCTGGAGGGAAGTCCATGGGCCACACTAACCCCATCATGAGCCAGATTCAGGTGCAGGTCACTGGTTGGACAGCCCTAGACTATATGAAATAGATATGCATAAGCATTCATGACCAAAAACACTTATTAGATGCTAGGAAAAGACATGTACAAAGCAAGCTATTAACAAGGTGCATATCTATCCAGTTTTCTGCCCAACTTCACACAAACAAGGCTAACAACCTCTCATTTCTTCTAACTGTACATCCAAACATTAAAATTGGGCTTGACTGTGGCATTGTACTGAACCACCAGATTAACAGGTTTGTTGCATAGAGACCTAGATGCTGGAACTTCTTTGAAAACAGACAGATCTTGCATAGCTTTGTACAAAGTGAGAGAGGACTCAATTCAACAGCTAGTTTGCCCAAAGCTAGCAACCAGTATACTTTTGGTTGACCTGCAATAGTCTAAGACTCAAATAGAAAGCTATCAGAAATAAATCAGGCAACTTGATCATGGGTACAACTAAAATGAAGCCAATCTACATTCTAAACTTTAAGGACTCTTACGTTTCTTTCATTAAGGAGTACAAACATGTACTTCAGCAGACGTGGTACAAAAGTTTTTTTTTAAATGGCCATTTCGTGTAAAGTTTTCATTGGGACTCAAGAATTTCATGTACCATTGACTCATACATTCTAGAAGTGGCTCAGTTTCTCATATGTATTTACAAACATGAAGTGTCACCCATTCAAATGTCTTGATACCTACAAATCTCATTAAATCTGCTATTTAAATGGGAAGAGAGAGTAAATCTGAACAAAGATGAGAGCAACACATATAAACCAACTTCATGTTTTCCTGCTTGAAGGCTTAATTCACATTTTAAAATTTGGTAAAATGAAATGGGTATCATGACATTTTCTCTTTCATTTCTATTGCTTAGAATTCTCAGCTTCTATTATTAGCTAAAATGGTACACTTTCCTAGAAAAATCAGGCATTGTGGGAAAAAATGAATAGGTATCTTTGCCAGATAGATGTATCAACTTTATGTGACAATTAAATACATTTTAGGAAAAGAATGCTTATTCTGGAGTCAGACTGAGGAAATCTGTGAGAGAAAGGATGGGAAAGATTATGGCTTTTAATAAAAGGTAAAACTGACTTTTTAAGCATTAAAAAAAACCCCTCATCTGTTTCTAAATGACATGGGGTTCTTTTAGGTTAGATTTGTTGTATTATGTAGATGTATTAACATTTCATTTTTATTGTGAAGTTATTTGAAACTTTTTCTACAAATCATAAATTGGTTTATACCACGTCTGATTTGAGAAGTTAATTCTCACATTCACCGAGCCCATTTACCATTGTTGAACAACTATACTGTGCTTGTATTTTGCTTCAAGTGAACAACGTGTACCCTGAAAACTACGAAGAAAACAATTTTCTTTTTCTTTTTTTTTTTTTTAGGGCATGTGCTTAACTGAAGATATCATTGCCAGAGGATTGATCAAGATACAGTTTTTCTTCACATCGATGCACACAAATATAAATTGTTTCACTTTTAGATAGTCTGCATTTGGGGGCAGAGAGGAGAGGAAAAATTCATTCTTGAAGACCCTATGTTCTGGCAACTGTTTTCAGGTGCAGTCTGCATGTGAGTCTCTCCACAATCTCTGACTACCACCCAAGCATTGTCCAGTGGGTATTAGCATGGCAGCACAATGCTCTCCCCTACTGCAAAGAATGATTAGGCTGCCCAAAAACCTTTTAAATGAGACAGTGTTTTCTGAGATTTATCCCATTCCAGTCTCAGCTCTAGGATTGATATTATAATCCCTAGATTCTCAATCTCTCATCAAGTTTATTTCAGGTTATAGAACTGTACTGTGGATCCCAATCGGACACTTCATTTTTATAACCCTATGAAAGTACAATGCACTGTCACAGGGCTAACAGCAGAACTGCACTGGAGAAAGACTGGACTGCATCAAAGAAAACAGAAAGGCAGAAAAGAATTAGGGCTTGTATTAAGGAAGTGGAAAGACAGAAAATTAACATTTGCTCTTATTTTTAATTCCCTGCCTTAACTTTATGTAAAGTCACTTGCCTAATTCCTCTTAACATTAGTCTTCAAGCTCTTTCACATTGTTCCTTGGAAGAGCTTTTTTGAGCAACAAGTGGCCTATGTCTTCTGCTCCAAATTCAACCTTAAAACACTTACTCCAAGAGTCTTTTCAATTAAGACTGCAATACAAAAGAAACTTTTATAATTTATGATGTTTGTGTATGGATTTACTTAACAGGATTATAAACACATTTTCTTATGTTAGTACCGTATGAAGTACAAAACCAATGTTCAAATACAATGAGTACAGAAAGGAAGTTACATGGGAAAGAAGAGAATATGTAACCAACCCTTAGCTCATGAAAATATATAACATCCCCACGAGAAAAAGCACCTTTATCAGTAACAGACACACAACACTGCCCCCACAAGAGACAATATGCACGTCAAGAGAGGCAAAAGCAAAGGATAACCAGTTCTTATGCTTGTATTTTACTACCTCACATTTCCAAAACGTTAACAATTGCTTAGTTTTGGTTAAGATTTAAATAATACTGTAGTTAAACTGTCTAATTTAAATCTACATTTCACCTATTTTGGTAGCACATATATGAAGACAAACATTTTAAGCAAGTGGATTTGCTACACATTCATTTTTTTCCCCTCAATTTCAGGCAGTGGTGACACAGGGCGTGCAGCATGTGCACCCCCTGACTAGCCCTTCTTGCCGCTTAGGTGATGGGCAGGGGGGGCAGGCAGGAGTGCCAATGCCCGCCCCCCGCGCGAGCGCCAGTGCTCCCAGAAGCAGCTGCAGCGATGGATCAGCCATGGAGTGGACCTGACCAAGGTGATACCAGTCACCTGTGATTTCAGGTTATTTTTGTAAACTGATGCAGTGAACTAGAATGGTCTATCAATTTTCCTTAAGCACGAACAAAACTGTATACTAGTGCCATGGTCCAGTAAAAACTAAATGACGAACATAAGAGGTAATTTGACAAAGTAGCAGCCCAAATACTCTTTTTCTCCTCCTGTACAGGCCCTTAGACCTGGATGGTGACCGTGCCATACACAGTTGAAGCAGATCGTGCCAACTCCATTCTCCATCACTAACACAAGTTTCTCATGCAGAGGAATTTGAACACGAGACACATTCAAGTGTTTCACTTCTTCCCTGGCTTCCAAGGCACATCCGCCGCCCTCAACATCTGCCAAGTTAAATGGCTGCATGAAGCCACCTCTCAGCACTATGAAGAGTTCACGTACGAAAGATAAGTGCTACTTATGTCACAGGTGAGCTGCACCACCTCTAAAACCCGCAGTTCAGAGAAAAGGACGCAGGTTCCCGTGGCGGTGGGGACGAAGGGGCGCCGCTCCCCCAGCTCAAGCCTCCGACCTGTTCCCCGTTAGAAACCGCTACTCGCGGGCGGCCAAGGGCTCCTGCCCGCGGCGCAACGCG